TGATCATCTCCATCATCTCCTCTCAGTCGCCAAAAGCCGCCTTGCAACTAGTTGTCCCCAGTTTCTCTGTCGATGTACTGGCTTTAGAGACCAGAGAGAGACACCAGAGTGAGACCAGGAAGAGATGGGAGAGACCAGAGAGGGACCAGAGAGGGACCAGAGAGAGACCAGAGAGAGACCAGAGAGAGACCAGAGAGAGACCAGAGAGGGACCAGAGAGAGACCAGAGAGAGACCAGAGAGAGACCAGAGAGAGACAAGAGAGGGACCAGAGAGAGACTAGAGAGGGACCAGAGAGAGACCAGAGAGAGACCAGAGTGAGACCAGCAAGAGATGAGAGAGACCAGCGTGAGAGGAGAGAGACCGGAGAGGGACCAGAGAGAGACCAAAGAGAGACCAGTGAGACAAGAGGGACCAGAGAGAGACCAGAGAGAGACCAGTGAGATCAGAGTGACCAGAGAGAGACGAGAGAGATATATAGATGTATATGTGTATACTGTATGTGTATTTGTGTATATTCGTATATGTGTATATTTGTATATGTGTATATGTGTATACTGTATATGTGTATGTGTATGTGTGTATACTGTATGTGTATATGTGTGTACTGTTTGTGTGTATGTGTATGTGTGTATACTGTATATGTGTATGTGTATATGTGTATACTGCATGTGTGTATGTGTATACTGTATGTGTGTATGTGTGTATACTGTATGTGTGTATGTGTATGTGTGTATACTGTATGTGTATATGTGTGTACTGTTTGTGTGTATGTGTATGTGTGTATACTGTATGTGTGTATGTGTATATGTGTATACTGTATGTGTATGTGTGTATACTGTATGTGTGTATGTGTATGTGTGTATACTGTATGTGTATATGTGTGTACTGTTTGTGTGTATGTGTGCATACTGTATGTGTATATGTGTATATGTGTATACTGTATGTGTGTATGTGTGTATACTGTATGTGTGTATGTGTGTATACTGTATTTGTGTATGTGTGATGTGTTGATATTGGCTGGTCCTCTGAGGGTCTGGGCCGGTACCTGAACAGGGCTGCTCGGGGGAGGTGGGGGGGGTGAGGGGGACACTGCAGTGGACGGCCTCCCTCATGGTCCCTGGGGCTGGGGGCACAGCTGGGAGGGGCTCCACCGGGACGTCCCACTGAGAGAGGAGCACGAAGGCTGCAGGGTATGTCATCCTCACGCCACCTTCAACAACAACAACAACATCTGTCATAATCTGTCCTCATCAAAGGCCCTAATCTGTCATCATTAAAGGGCCCTAATCTGTCATAATTCAAGGGCCCTAATCTGTCATCATTAAAGGGCCCTAATCTGTCATCATTAAAGGGCCCTAATCTGTCATAATTCAAGGGCCCTAATCTGTCATCATTAAAGGGTCCTAATCTGTCATCATTAAAGGGCCCTAATCTGTCATCATTAAAGGGCCCTAATCTGTCATCATTCAAGGGCACTAATCTGTCATCATTCAAGGGTCCTAATCTGTCATCATTAAAGGGCCCTAATCTGTCATCATTAAAGGACCTTAATCTGTCATCGTTAAAGGGCCCTAATCTGTCATCATTAAAGGGCCCTAATCTGTCATCATTAAAAAGGCCCTAATCTGTCATCATTAAAGGGCCATAATCTGTCATAATAATAATCTGCTCTTTTCCAATACTTCTTTAACTGATAACAGTAGTTCAGAGATATTTGAATTTCTAAATTACTTTTCCAGCCCCTAAATCTCGTTATTGTCTTCATTTCGATGTCCCGCCCTCCTCCGTTTCACCAATCAGAAAGTCTGAACGGGGCGCCAGAACTCACCGCGTGGAGCTAATCTCACTGGTAAAGTACCATGTGGCGCAGAGCTAAAAAAGGTCTCGTTATGATTCTCAAATCATTAACGACAAAACAAGGAATAAAACGAATCCAGGACTGAGGCTGTAAGTAAGCTTTATTTATTGATATACCGCCTTTTCACTGCACATCGGAGTCTCAAAGCGGTTTACAATTGTTATTTTTGGGAGTGGGGGGGGCAGTACAGGAGGCACATGCCAGACCTATTGTACATATTTTTAGTGGTAGGCGAAACCGGAGCGAAACCTACGCAGACACGGGGAGAACATGCAAACTCCACTCAGAAAGGCACTGGTCCAACCGGGATTCGAACCCAGGACCTTCTTGCTGAGAGGCGAGAGTGCTATCCACTCAGCCACCGTGCCGCCCAGATCCAGAGCTGTAGATCCAGGACTGAGGCTGTAGACCCAGGACTGAGGCTGTAGACCCAGGACTGAGCTGTAGATCCAGGACTGAGGCTGTAGACCCAGGACTGAGCTGTAGATCCAGGACTGAGGCTGTAGACCCAGGACTGAGGCTGTAGACCCAGGACTGAGGCTGTAGACCCAGGACTAAGACTGTAGATCCAGGACTGAGGCTGTAGATCCAGGACTGAGGCTGTAGACCCAGGACTGAGGCTGTAGATCCAGGCAGGGAGCAAAACTTTGTCCATGGGCACTTCCCCATTGGGCTTCATGACTGTTATAATTGTCTATCCATATAAAGTCTGTGGTTCCATCCGAAGAAGAGACATGTGTAAACATTTGAGGGAATGACAGAGTCTGAAAAGTGCAGCAGTGGTTGTTGATAATCAGGTCAAAGTGACTCATAAACAAGTGCTAACAAGTGCCTCCTGACGCGGCACCTGGAACCTCCCTGCTGTGAGTGAACTATGAGGAGCTGTGAGGTTTTAGACTCGGATTCCCGGAAGTCTGAAACTACCAGAACTCAGAGATTTGATTGATTTAAAAAAATGCTAAAACTGGTGAATGCATCTAGACATGTCAGGGAAAGACCAGAGGGAGACCAGAGAGACCAGAGAGGGACTAGAGAGACCAGAGAGGGACCAGAGAGGGACTAGAGGGAGACCAGAGAGACCAGAGAGAGACTAGAGAGGGACTAGAGAGACCAGAGAGTGACCAGAGAGTGACCAAAGAGAGACCAGAGAGACCAGACGGACTAGAGAGAGACCAGAGAGTGAGGAGAGACCAGGGGGACAACAGAGAGACCAGCGAGAGACCAGAGAGAGGCCAGAGAAAGAGACCAGAGAGAGACCAGAGGAACTAGAGAGAGACCGGAAAGAGAGACCCGAGAGAGACCAGCGAGAGACCAGAGAGAGACTAGAGAGGGACTAGAGAGACCAGAGAGAGACCAAAGAGAGACCAGACAGACCAGAGAGAGACTAGAGAGGGACTAGAGAGAACAGAGAGAGACCAGAGTGACAAGAGGGACTAAAGAGGGACCAAAGGGACAGGAGAGACCAGACTAGAGAGAAACCAGAGAGAGAGACCAGAGAGAGACCAGAGGGAGAGGAGAGGGACCAGAGACACCAGAGAGAGACCAGAGAGAGACCAGAGAGAGACCAGAGAGAGACCAAAGAGAGACCAGACAGACCAGAAAGAGACTAGAGAGGGACTAGAGAGAACAGAGAGAGACCAGAGTGACAAGAGGGACTAAAGAGGGACCAAAGGGACAGGAGAGACCAGACTAGAGAGAAACCAGAGAGAGAGAGAGAGACCAGAGGGAGAGAAGAGGGACCAGAGACACCAGAGAGAGACCAGAGAGAGACCAGAGAGAGACCAGAGAGAGACCAGAGGGAGAGAAGAGAGACCAGAGAGAGACCAGAGAGAGACCAGAGGGAGAGAAGAGAGACCAGAGAGAGACCAGAGAGAGACCAGAGGGAGCCGTCACATTGACTGCTGTGCATGTGTTACTTGTTTCTGTCGTCAAAGGAGAGAGCACCTGCTTCCTCACCTACAACAACCTCCACGGCCATATGGTCCAGCGCCTGGTCATTCGCTCTCTCGCCCTCTGTCTCTCTCAGCACCGTGGGGTAGAAGAAGCTCCACTCCTCCATCAGCTTCCGAGTCGCCGGGTCACTCATCTTAAAGGCCTGACCCGTGAGAACACCCCTGAGACCGTACGGACTCAGGATCACTGCAACACACACACCTCTGCTCAGGACACGCTGGATTTACACTATCACAGGTTAGTATGAGCAGAAAGAGAGCACAGAGAGAGATTGAGCAGAGAGAGACCAGAGACCGAGAGAGCAGAGAGAAAGCAGAGAGAGACCAGAGAGAGAGAGAAAGCAGAGAGAGACCAGAGACAGAGAGAGCAGAGAGAAAGCAGAGAGAGACCAGAGAGAGAGAGAAAGCAGAGAGAGACCAGAGACAGAGAGAGCAGAGAGAAAGCAGAGAGAGACCAGAAAGAGAGAGAGAGACCAGAGAGAGAGCAGAGAGAGGAAAGAGAGAGAGAGGAGAGAGAGACCAGAGAGAGACCAGAGAGAGAGAGAGAGACCAGAGAGACAGCAGAGAGAGACCAGAGAGAGCGCACAGAGAGAGAGAGAGAGATAGAGAGACCAGAGAAAGAGTAGAGAGGAGAGAGAGCAGAGAGAGACCAGAGAGAGCAGAGAGAGAGCAGAGAGAGACCAGAGAGAGACCAGAGAGAGAAGAGAGAGAGCAGAGAGAGACCAGAGAGAGGAGAGAGAGAGAGAGCAGAGAGGAGAGAGCCAAGAGGGAGAGGAGAGAGACATCAGAGAGAAAGACCAGAGGCACCTGAGAGAGTCCAGAGAGAGACCAGAGAGAGACCAGAGAGAGAGACCAGAGAGAGTCCAGAAAGAGACCAGAGAGAGAGCAGAGAGAGAGAACAGAGAGAGAAAGAGACCAGAGAGAGACAAGACAGAGACCAGTGAAACGCCAGATGAGAGATACCATTCTTTGGACATAATCAAAGACATAAAGTCTGTATTTCGAAGTGTCTTCCTGGTGTTTCCATGGTCCCTTCCGTGTGGCCTCACCTTGTACCGTGCTGGACTGGGCCAGGCCGATGTGGGACTGGTGGATGTGGTGAGCAGGCTGGTGCTGAGCGATCTCCACACTGGTACACACGGTACTCTCACCATGAAGGAAGAAGGAGAAGGAGCAGGAGAGGTGTTCACTGAGGAGAGAGAGAGACCCCGGTCAGAGAGAGAGAGAGAGAGAGACCTGAGAGAGACCAGAGAGAGACCAGTGAGACAATAACCTCCTACAGTCTGAGGCAGGTGGATTATTTAAGGTATAAATCCTCATTTGTTTTGAGTGATTGTGATTCTTCTGTTTACATCTGTGCTCTCTCTTTATTACAGCGCCCCAGGACCCTCCATCATGTGTGTGTGTGTGTGTTTACATGTGTGTGTGTGTTTACATGTGTGTGTGTGTGTGTGTACATGTGTGTTCTCTGGTTTTAATCACCTTGGGGTAACATAAACCCCTTCTGTGTGATTCCGAGTGGGTTGGACGTCATTAACCAGGAAAAATGTGATGTATTCTTTAATCTGTGACGCTGTTCGTGCTGGATCTGAGATGTATCACTGACAATAACCTCTGTAATAACCCTTTGCAATATCATCAGTGTCCTGGGGGGGGCGCCAGACCTATACAGGGTTATCACTGTTGTCCTGGGTCTACAGCCTCAGTACTGGGTCTACAGCCTCAGTCCTGGGTCTGCAGCCTCAGTCCTGGGTCTACAGCCTCAGTCCTGGGTCTACAGCCTCAGTCCTGGGTCTACAGCCTCAGTCCTGGGTCTGCAGCCTCAGTCCTGGGTCTACAGCCTCAGACCTGGATCTTCAGCCTCAGTCCTGGGTCTGCAGTGTCAGTTCTGGGTCTACAGCCTCAATCCTGGACCGACAGCCTCAGTCCTGGATCTACAGCCTCAGTCCTGGGTCTACAGCCTCAGTCCTGGGTCTGCAACCTCAGTCCTGGATCTACAGCCTCAGCCCTGGGTCTACAGCCTCAGTCATGGGTCTGCAGTCTCAGTCCTGGGTCTACAGCCTCAGTCCTGGGTCTGCAGTCTCAGTCCTGGATCTACAGCCTCAGTCCTGGGTCTACAGCCTCAGTCCTGGACCGACACCCTCAGTCCTGGGTCTACAGCCTTAGTCCTGGATCTACAGCCTCAGTCCTGGATCTACAGCCTCAGTCCTGGATCTACAGCCTCAGTCCTGGGTTTGCAGTCTCAGTCCTGGGTCTGCAGTGTGCACAGTGGCCTCTAGATGGCGACGATCTCAACTCTTCACACGCCTCACTGACATTCCTGCAGTTCTCAGAATAAATAGCCGGAAAACAGCAGGTGGTTAGAACATGGATCTGCACAACGACTGGAGCGAGGGAGTCGGAGAGAGGGAGAGAGGGAGAGAGGGAGAGAGGGAGAGAGGGAGAGACAGAGAGAGAGAGAGAGAGAGAGAGAGAGAGAAAGTGTCTTCACAGCACACAAAGGCGAACAGCTACAACAGCACATTCTCTGTACAGTCACACAATATGCTGCAGGGACCAGAATGGTCTTAATTTCACATTTTTAAAAAGAAAAACAGAATTGTAAATATAATAATAATAAGTACAGCAGCAGACTCGGAGTTTATCACCCGTGCATTTGTCAACAGTAGGTCAGACTCACTGCTCACTGAATCTGCAAATGTCCGGACTAGAACCAGGAAGTACCATCGCATTAGTCCAGACTAGAACCAGGAAGTACCATCGCATTATTCCACACTAGAACCAGGAAGTACCATCACATTAGTCCCGTATTCGTCCCGGAAACCGGATTCGTCCGGAAGTTCAGTTTGATCCAATAAGCATACGCAGCAGTAGATTACGTCACGGAATCTGGACGGAAGCGGAAGTAAATATAAAAAACTACCTATTCATGCCTAAACTTAACCAGCCATTCCCATAAAATAACCCCAACCCAGCCTTAACCCTAAACTTAACCATCTTAATCAGACGCCTAAACTTAACCAGTCACCACTTAAGGACATATTAAACTTTTTGACATGCGCAAACTGAACTTCCGGACAAATCCGGTTTCCGGGACGAATACGGGAGTGACAGTCCTGACTAGAACCAGGAAGTACCATCACAGTAGTCCTGACTAGAACCAGGAAGTACCATCACGGTAGTCGTGACTAGAACCTGGTTAGTGCTGTGATGGGAGACCTCCGAGAACAGCAGGAGCCACAGTGAGTTGGCTGCGGCTGTAAAGTGCCAAACTGTGGTAGTGTCCTTAGGCAAGACACTTCCCCCACATTAGAATGAGTCTGGTGTGTGTGTGAATGGTTAGTGGTGGTGGGAGGGGCCGATGGCACATGCTGGTTGCCTCGCTTCTGTCATTGTGCCCCAGGGCAGCTGTGGCTACAGCAGTAGTTTGTCACCACCGTGTTTTGAGTGAATGAATAATGACATGTGAAAAGTCTGAGAAAGCCACTGTGTATTTTTTTATTTTTTTATTATGATCATGTTTAACTATACATGATCTTGATGATACTTATGTTGTTGTAAAAAAAAGCACACAGCATTTGTTCAAAAATGTTGCAGTGCATTATAGCGATATCCCACGGTACTTGAAAGTACCGTGTGTGTAACCAGGAAGTACCATCACATTAGTCCAGACTGCACAGGGACTGGACTCCTGCTGGTCCCGGAATCAGGACTTAACATCTTTTCAGATTCATTCAGCTAATATTTGATACAATCATCTTGAAAATGTTCAAATCCAGGTTAAAAACAGTTGTGTACTTTGTGTAATGAACTTATTTCATTATTACAGTTTTTCTCAGTCGCTTTGGTGCATTTTTCACATCAGACTTAAACTATTAGTTCAACCCCCACAACATTGAGTCATGTGTGACATCATCGCAGCAGTTTCTCCTTTGAACACATTTAAAATGCTTTTGTTCATGTATCAGTTACTTTCATACAATTCTCTGTGTTTTATAACATGATCATTTGCTTCTGTTCTGTCAGTCAGAATGAAACATACTTAAAACTTCTGAATAGTCTGTCACTATAAAACTAACTGTCCTCATTTCATCGCTTTGGTCGTCACATACAAAATTGTTGAACTAGTTCAAAATCAAAATTTTCAAGCTAATTTCATACATTCCTTTATCTTTTTTTCCTTTAAATATTTCCTAAATTTACATACACATACAGTGCATACAGGCATACAAAACATGCATACATAGATACACACATACATACATACATATATGTCAGTTACCTCTCTCAATACAGTCTTTGTGTAACTTTACTGCATTGGCCTTTGAGCCAGAGGGTCGTGGGTTTGAGCCCGACATACATCATCGACTCCTGCTGTCGTTGTGTCCTTGGAAACAGCAGGTGCCACAGTGGGGCGGCCGCGGCTGTAAAGTGCCAAACTGTGGTTGTGTCCTTAGGCAAGACACTTCCCCCACATTAGAATGAGTCTGGTGTGTGTGTGTTGGTGGTGGTGGGAGGGGCCGATGGCACAGACTGGTTGCCTCGCTTTCTGTTGGTGTGCCCCAGGGCAGCTGTGGCTATAGCAGTAGTTTATCACCACCGTGTTTGGAGAGAAAGAATAATGACATGTGAAGCGTCTTTGAGTGCCCAAAAAAGCGCTATAAAAAAAACGATGCATAATTATTATTACTGTAGTTTTTACTGTAAATGGCTGTACAGGTCGTGTATAGTGTGCTCATAGTCGTGCTCAAGTGTTTTTACTTTGAAATCACTAAGAGAGTAAACTTTCACAATGAAAACGTGACTAAGTCATGTGACTGTGTTGTTCATACTCAGTGTTGTCAGGACAGATTATTTTGACGACAGACAGTTTCATTGACATGAAGACTTGCTTTTGAGGAATAAACTGTTCATTTTGAGAAAGTGATGCACTTTTGTAGGTTATCCACGAGGTTTGGCAGTTTGCACTAATTGTTGTGAGAAATGCACCAACAGTTGTGCAAATGTGAAGAGTGATGTGAAAAATGCACCAAAGCGACTGAGAACAACTGTAAGTTACAAACTGTGCTTTACAAAGTGACACGCCTTGCCTTTTTCTTCTTCTTCTTGAAAGTACCGTTTTAAAATCACATAAACACATTGTAAATGAAGGTGCAGCAGTTGTGGGTCAGGATGGAGGGATGCAGCTCGTCCTTCTGCAAAGACATGTCCTGAAGAAAGAGAACCTCCTCTGGGACGAGAGAGCACAGCGCCCCCAGCAGGCAGGGGCCCTAACTGCACAGGTATTTATAACTGAGAGACAGAGATGGAGAGGGAGAGGGAAAGAGAGAGAGAACTGAGGAGAGAAAAAGAGAGAGAGAGACGATTGAAGCTCAGCAGGAGAGAGAGAGACGAAGATAGAGAGATGGAGAGAGAGAGAGAGAGACTGAGGAGAGAGAAAGAGAGAGAGACACGACTGAGGCTCAGCAGCAGAGAGAGAGAGAGACGAAGATAGAGAGATGGAGAGAGCGAGAGAGACTGAGAGAGAAGGATGGCGATGGAGAGAGACGAAGAGATGGAGAAACAGAGAGAGAGAGGTTCAAGGGACACAATATGGAAATGTAAAACACGCAGAGAGAGAAGAGTCTTGAGTTTAAAAATGGAAGCTGAACAAGAGAGAGAGACATACAGAGAGAGACAGACAGACAGAGAGAGAGACAGACAGACATGGAGAGAGAGAGACAGAGACAGACAGAGAGAGACAGAGAGAGACATAAGAGAGAGAGAGAGACAGAGAGAGAGACAGACAGACAGAGAGAGAGAGACAGAGAGGGAGACAGACAGAGAGAGACAGAGAGACAGACAGACAGGGAGAGAGAGAGACAGAGACAGACAGAGACAGACAGAGAGAGACAGAGAGACAGAAAGAGAGACAGAGAGAGAGACAGAGACAGAGCGAAAATCAGATAAAAGAGAGAGAGAGAGAGAGGGGAGAAAGAGGAGGTGAATAATTTAGAGGCGCACACTGCACACATATCAATGAGAGAAGCAGATTTAATGGGAGGCTACTGAGAACGCTTTTATGGACCAATCAATCAACAGCGACACACACACACACACACACGTACACACAGAGACACACACACACACACACACACACACACGCACACACACACACAGAGACAGACACAGAGTCACACACACACACAC